CTGGGTTGGCCCCCTTCTCTGGTTCCCCATGCTGGGATTCCAGAAGGAGAGGCCATGCTGACCACAGGGGTGGGACAGCCCTGGGATGGCCCGGCCCCTATCTCTGCTGGACTCTGGTGAGCTGCGGCCAACGCCCCTTCAGGCCCCACCAGACTGACGGCCCCTCACCCGCCCCCTTCCACCAGACCCTGCCTGTCCACTGCCACAGCAGCCGATAACAGACCCCACCCTGCAGCCCCTTCCCCTCCTCCCGGGAATGGCCCGGCCTGCCTAGCTTCTGCCTCGGATACATAAGGGGACCCCACAGGCTGAGCAGCACCAAGGCCACGCTGAGCAGCCAGCAACACAACCAGCACCATGTCTCTGACCAAGAGTGAGAGGACCATCATCATGTCCCTATGGGACAAGGTCTCCTCGCAGACCGAGGCCATCGGCACTGAGGCTCTGGAGAGGTGAGTGTGGCCTGGGACAGCCCAGCACCCGGCCAGGGGCTGGGAAAGTGGCCCGGGACAGCACAGTGCCTCCCAGGCCTGGGCTGCTGCACGTGGGGCTGCCCAGCCCCAGTGTAAGGGACAAGGAGCTGGAGGAGGCCCAGGTCGAGCAGGGAGGCTGGGCCCGCCACCCCTGTCCTGCCCTGTCTCCTTGAAATCCCACCGGGGCTCCCTGTGGATTCCCCCTCACCTCAGTGTCCACACAGCTTGTTGCAAGCAAGCGTCCTTGACCCTGAGGGCGGGGCCTGGGGGCTCCTGCGCCCAGCTCAGGCTCACGCCCCTGCTCCCCACCCTCCAACCTCGCCCCCCATGCCACCGGCCTGCAGGCTCTTCAGCAGCTACCCTCAGACCAAGACCTACTTCCCGCACTTCGACTTGCACCCGGGCTCAGCGCAGCTGCGCGCCCATGGCGCCAAGGTGGCGGCCGCCGTGGGCGAAGCGGTCAGGAACGTGGACAACCTGCCCAGCGCCCTGTCCAAGCTGAGCGAACTGCACGCCTACGTCCTGCGCGTGGACCCAGTCAACTTCAAGGTGCGCGCGGGGCTGCGCGGGACGGGGCGGGGAGCACGTGCAGGCAAGGCTGGCCTGGCCCCTCATTGTTCCCGCTCCTCCCCCACAGCTCCTGTCCCACTGCCTGCTCATCAGCCTGGCCGTGCGCCTGCCCGCGGACTTCACCGCCGAGACCCACGCCGCCTGGGACAAGTTCCTGTGCCAAGTGTCCGCCGTGTTGACCGAGAAGTACCGCTGAGTGCTGCAGGCCCCAGGACAGCCCGTGGCCCCTTCTCTGCCCCTGAAGCCCAGGCCCTCACTGGGCGCCCCAATAAACGGATCAGGAAGGAGGAGCTGGCTCCTGAGTTCTTTGTGCTGAGGGAAGGGGGTGGCGAGGGATTTGGTTAGGTGGGGTCAGCCTTGTTTCTGAAGGCTTGCCATTTTGCCTGAGGACCTTCAGACATCTCAAGGCACCAGAGTCACACCTGGCAGCTGCGTTGTCGTGAAACGTTTAGTTTGGTGGCACATGGGGTCACTTGCATGCTGAACAGAAACAGGCACTCCCAGCTCCTGGGACACCAGGCGGTGGGGGCCACCGCTTTCTTGCTGTACCTGGACAGCTGTGGCGCACCCCCAGTCCTGTGCCTCTCCACTTCTACCCCAGCAATGGGGGCCCCAGCTGCACCTTCCCAGGCCCTGGGAAAGTCAAGATGGGGCATCCATTCCACTGTGTGAGCAACACAGGAACAAGGGGTCTGGAGGGTGAAGGCCGCCTGCAAGTGCGAATCTGGGGTGCCTGGGGGGATACTATTATACCCAGGTTAGGCTCTCTTCGTCCCTGCCTTATTTGGCCTGTGCAAGAGTGGGCAGGTGACCCGGGGGGCCAGCGTGCCATTTGGCACTAGGCTCCGCCCTCTGGCCTTGCGGCCAGGGAGCTCTGGGGATCTGGTTCTTTATATCTCCATTTTGAACCCTCAGTGCTTTGTGAACATAAATCAATCCTAACGATCCCCAATGACAGTTAATCTTCCTCAGATGAACCTGTAATTAACACTGTTTCTAACCATGTGCTGTGAAAAATTGCAATACCTAATATACTGTCAAAACCTTGTGCTACTCAGAAATGGAGCGGGAGAGCAGGGAAGTCTTCCATTCCCCTCAAAGGAGTGAGGAAGACGTGTACTGTAACGTATCAGGAGCATGGCAGGTAACCTACAGACAATAAACTCAAAACAGGATTAGACAATAGTAAAATCATAAAGACATACAGGGGGAATCAAAAGCGATCCTAGCAACCTATTCCCAGGTGGTCACATGCCCAGAGCAGGGGAGGCACCCAGAGTGGAGCAGGTGAACAGGAGGAGGCTTGTGTCCCAACCCTGGAGACTCCCGGATCCCCACCAAGGTCAGCGTCCCAACTGCCAAAGAGACCACGGGGAACTGGAATGCCTTTGGAGGCCGAGAACTCAGAGGGCATTCCCACCCCCGCTCTGGACCTACCACACGGGATGGAAGAAGCCCAACCCTTCATCGTGGGACTTAGGGCCATCAGAACAACAGAGAGGAACCCTGAGTGGCCCTCAGAACCAGAAGAACAGTAAACCTCCTTCGGAATTGGGGAGAGGAGCTTTCTCTGGCCCTTGCTTGGTTCCAGCTTTGGGTCCTCACCCTCTCTGCAATGACCATTGGGGTTGCTCCAGAGCCCCCCTCCAAACACACACACACGTTAGAATAGATAGGCAGAGACCAAAAAGGCAAGCCTGATGAGCATAAACTCATACACACCTCGCTAGGGAGGACGCGAAGATTAAGCACTCCTCAGCAAGGTATTGAGAATTCCTCTGCATACCCCTCCTAAACTGTCTCACACCTCAATTGTTGAAATGTCATGGAAGTAGTCACAGGATGTGGTTAAGAACTTGCTTACTCGACGATGTCAGTTCCACAAAATTGTATATTGTTGCTGATGTTATGTCTGGGCTTGTAACTGACCGGGATCTTACTTTGTTGGCTGTAACTTTGGACTAGAGAGGGTCTCCCCAAGAAGCTGTTGAACTTATCTGGATGATGAGATGCTGAACTCTATGCTAGGTATAGGCTCACAGGGAAGGAATCTCAACTGAACTTGAACTGTTGATACACAACAAGGTGGAGGAATCTACCATGCGGGGAAGATTGGGGGAGAGGGGGGGAATTCCAGTACCTAAAAAGCTGTATCACATAATGCAATGTAATAAATTGGAAAAAAAAAAAAAAAAGAGTGAGCAGGTGGTCCCTGGAACGGTAGCCCTGTGGCTAAAGTCCTTGCCTTGCATGCACTGGGATCCTATATGGAGGCTGGTTCTAATTCAGGTGGTCCCACTTCCTATCTAGTTCCCTGCCTGTGGCTTGAGAAAGCAGTAGAGGATGGCCCTAAACCCTGGGACCCTGCATCTGAGTGAGAGACCCAGAAAAGACTCCTGGCTCAGATTGGCTCAGCTCCGGCCATGTGGCAACAGAAGATCTTCTCTGTTTCTGTCTCTCCTCCTCTTTGTATCTTTGTGTATATGAAGTTCTGAACCTTCAGAAAAAAAAAAAAGAGTGGGGTTCCAGACCTAGACCCTAAGGCACTCTGTTGGAGAGCTGCTCAGGTGTGTGGGTACAGGGGGTCTCTGGTCCCTGAGGGCAGCAGGCACAGTGGAGCTGGGCAGTGGTATCAATAGCTCACTCAGTGTCTAGCCTGTGGCCAGTTCTGGGCCTTTCTTTCCTCTCCTGTGAGCTCCAGTGGAAGGGGCTCCTGTCCTAGGTGCTGACGGCCCAGACTCCATGCAGGGCCTGCACCCCCATTTGGCTGAAGGCCCTGGGAGCCCCACCAGGGCTCCTAACCCAGATAATGTCAGGACCAGCCTGGACCGGAGCCCTGTGTGGGACTCTTGGCAGTATTTAGCCCTGTGCTGGGCTTCTGTGTGCCCAGGACCCTGTCTAGCCTCCTGGCAACCCATCCCCACTGCCAAGTCTGTCCCCTTCACAGCCCAAACTGATTCTAATTAAAGAGTGACAATTGAGAGAAACCATATTTGATTGCCAAGTGAAGGGGCCACTCTTTGGGGTTCCCACAAGCCAGAGCTGACTGCCTGGGTTTGAATCCTGGCCACATACACTATGTGTTGTATAAGCTTCTGTGTGCTCATGGGAAGGCAGGACATGATGATGTAAGAACTCTGCTGCCTGCGTGAGAGACCCTAGTCCCTGGCCTTGGCAGGATCAGCCTCAAGTGATGTGAATATTATTGAAAGTCCACAGACGAAGTCCTCCCTCTCTCTCTTCCTTCTATCTCTGCCTTTGAAGTAGATCAACACAGCAATGAAGAAATAAACTCAAATCCACCCCATGTCTTAGTGTTTGTTTGATACACTCCACGTGGATGGCAGTCTTGCCTGCCACAGCCTGGGGTTGGGGGGATGCACATCAACAGGGGCCTAGGAGAGCCAGCAGGTGGGGCTGAGGTGTGGGGTCTCTAGGAGAGCAGCGGGGTGAGGTGTGGGGTCTAGGAGAGAGAAAGCAGGTGGGGCTGAGGTGTGGGGTCTAGGAGAGAGAGCAGGTGGGGCTGAGGTGTGGGGTCTAGGAGAGAGAGATGGGGGGGCTGAGGTGTGGGGTCTAGGAGAGAGAGACGGGGGGCTGAGGTGTGGGGTCTAGGAGAGAGAGACGGGGGGCTGAGGTGTGGGGTCTAGGAGAGAGAGACGGGGGGGCTGAGGTGTGGGGTCTCTAGGAGAGAGAGCAGGTGGGGCTGAGGTGTGGGGTCTAGGAGAGAGAGACGGGGGGGCTGAGGTGTGGGGTCTCTAGGAGAGAGAGCAGGGGGGGCTGAGGTGTGGGGTCTAGGAGAGAGAGACGGGGGGGCTGAGGTGTGGGGTCTCTAGGAGAGAGAGCAGGTGGGGCTGAGGTGTGGGGTCTCTAGGAGAGAGAGCAGTGGGCTGAGGTGGGGCTAGGAGAGAGAGGGGGGGCTGAGGTGTGGGTCTAGGAGAGAGAGACGGGGGGCTGAGGTGTGGGGTCTCTAGGAGAGAGAGCAGGTGGGGCTGAGGTGTGGGTCTAGGAGAGAGACGGGTGCGAGGTGGGGTCTAGGAGAGAGAGGGGGGGCTGAGGTGGGGCTAGAGAGAGAGCGGGGGGCTGAGGTGTGGGGTCTCTAGGAGAGAGAGCAGGTGGGGCTGAGGTGTGGGGTCTCTAGGAGAGAGAGGGGCTGAGGTGGGGTCTAGGAGCGTGGTGAGTGGGGTCTAGGAGAGAGAGACGGGGGGGCTGAGGTGTGGGGTCTAGGAGAGAGAGACGGGGGGGGGGGCTGAGGTGTGGGGTCTCTAGGAGAGCCAGCAAGTGGGGCTGAGGTGCAGCGCTTCCCTGCTGTGTGACTGCGCCTGCACTGCCCTCTTGCGTCGGCTGCTCGCTCCCCTCCCGATCGCCCCTGGAGGAAGGGACACCTCTGTCTGAAGGTCTGTCAACAGCCCTGTAAATTCTCTTCAGAAGGCATCTGTCCTTTACCCGTTCTACGGGAAAACTCCTGGGAAGCCCGCAGAGAGCGGGAGGAAAGGGCTGGGACAGGCCCGCGGACTCCACATTGCCCATCTGCCAGGCACCCGTTCCTTCGCGCCTTCATCCAGGACTGACAGGGGAGCCCGGTGGGGACAGCGGAGGCCGAGGGGAACCGGGGCCGGGCTGAGGGACCGCGCCGGCCGTGGGCAGTAAGGCTAGGGTCTCGGTGGGCAGCGGGGGTCTCGATGGGCAGCGGGGGTCTCGGTGGGCAGCAGGGCGGGGGGCGGGTCGAGGGACCCGGGCCGGATTCCAACCCGGAGCCCAGGGCCGTCCGCGAGCCCCGCCCCCGGGCAGCGCCAGCCAATGACCGAGGCCCTGGGGGGCGTGGCCTCCGCACGCGGGGCATAAAAGCGCCGCGCTCACCGGGATCCTCACGCTTCTGATCCGACCACTCGGTGAAAGCAACCATGGTGCTGTCTCCCGCTGACAAGGCCAACGTCAAGGCCGCCTGGGGCAAGGTCGGGGGCCACGCCGGCGAGTATGGCGCCGAGGCCCTGGAGAGGTGAGCCCCCTCCTGCCTGACCGCCCGGGCCCAGCGCCCCCGCGTCCGGCTCACCCGCCTCTTCCCGCAGGATGTTCCTGAGCTTCCCCACCACCAAGACCTACTTCCCCCACTTCGACGTGACCCACGGCTCCGCCCAGGTCAAGGCCCACGGCAAGAAGGTGGCCGATGCCCTCACCCAGGCCGTCGACCACTTGGACGACCTGCCCGGCGCCCTGTCCGCGCTCAGCGACCTGCACGCCCAAAAGCTGCGGGTGGACCCTGTTAACTTCAAGGTGAGGGCGCAGCCGGTCCCCCTCCAAGGACGGTGCGTGGCGGGAGGCCGGCTGCGTGGGCTCTGGGGACAGTGCGTCTCCCTCCAAGGACGGTGCATAGCCGAGGCGGGGAGACAGGGAACACAGGAGGCTGCACCCACCGACGCCCCCCGCCGCTCTCCCTGCAGCTCCTGGCTCACTGCCTGCTGGTGACCCTGGCCAACCACCACCCCAATGAATTCACTCCTGCGGTGCACGCCTCCCTGGACAAGTTCCTGGCCAACGTGAGCACCGTGCTCACCTCCAAGTATCGTTAAAGTGGAGCTCGGGGCTGTGTCCAGCGCCCCTCTCTCCCACCCGCCCCGCCCCGCAGCACCCCGCTCTTCTTTGAATAAAGTCTGAGTGAGTGGCAGCCTGTGTGTGCCTGAGTCTCTGCGTCGCTGAAGTGGGGGACCTCCACCCCACTGCCGAAGGAGTGCAGTGCAGCGCAGGGGCTGCCTGCCCGGTGCCTCCTTCCCCAGGCCGCAGGTTAGGGTGCAGGCTCCCTTTCCAGTATGCACCTGCGTTCACCGGCCTCCACCTGGGACCCCCAGCTGGGGTTGGGGGGATGCACATCAACAGCGAGCGAGAGGGGGTACAGCACCCCACTGGGCCCTCCATTGTCCCTGCAGCCGTCCACTCCCCCACCCCTGGGGCACCCACAGACGGGTGGCTGTGGGACTTTTCTGCGAGCATCACTCCACGACCTCATGTGTCCTGGGACCCCAACAGCAGGAAGAGGAGCCAGGGGTGCTGGTCTGCCACTCCAAGGTTCACTGGGCAACTGGGTCTGGCAGTTCTGGGCTCCATGCCCCCAAGACCAGTGCCCTTTTTCCTGGAAGGCGTCAGTGCACCATGGGCCCTGGGTAGCCTACCAGGGAACCAGGCAGAATGGGGGAGCCCCGGGGGATAGCCCTTGGTGCATCGTGCTGTATCTCCTGGGTTCCAGGGGTGCCTGGTGCCTCAAGCAAACCCCAAAGGCCCCCATCATGCATGTACTCCCAGAGGGGCCCCCTTTTCAGCGTTCCCTGATACAGCAAATATGGCACCTTGCTTACCTGGAAGCCTGAATTCCATCCTGCCCACAGTAACCCAGTTAGAGCTGTTATCGGCAAACCTGTGGGGCAGAAATAATTCTTGTCAAGACAAAGCAGCTAATGGACATGCTTGGGTGTGTGTCATTTAGAAGTGGAATTTCAGCGTGTTCAGTACTTAAAACCCGGGGCCAATCTGTGGGTACCTTGTTGCATGATGGGATAATGAATCTATATTCCAGTTAATGTCACATTGGTTCTTGCCAGAATAGCAGTAACAATGCTCAAGCACTAAAACACTCTGGCAGCTGCTAAAACACAACTTCCTGGGAGACAGGCGGTGGCAGAAAGCACGCCTGGGCAGCCAGGAGCCGGGAGGGGGCTGCTGCTAGGTACGAGGGTGACCTTGTTCTTGGTCTCCCTTCCCCCAGGCAGACTGCATGTCGCTGTCATAAGGCCTGGGTTATGATCCCAACAGTGGGGGCAGCACTGGGGGAACCCACGGATGGGTTCCACATTTTTAGAGTGTTCTCTCAATAAACTTTATAAACCATAGCATAGTAGGCTGAGTCTCAGTCTGTGGCACCAACACCCCATATAGGCACCGCGATTGGATCCCAGCGGCTCCACTTCCAGTCCTGCCCACAAGCCCATGTATGATCTCCCCCATCTGCCCTCCTTTCTGTAGCTCTGCCTTTCATTAAATGGGGAGGGGGGACCCAAACATGCTTCTGGCAGAAGGCTTAGGGGTTCTTCGAGGCGCGCAAGGTCGCAGGTGGAGCTCCGGTTCCGGACCAAGGGGCGGTGCAAGTGTGGTGTCCCGCCCCCTGAGCACCGGCGCGCGGCCATTGCGCGGGGATGGAGCTGTCGGCGGAGGAGCGGGACCTGCTGCGGGCTCTCTGGAAGAAGCTGGGAAGCAACGTCGGCGTCTATGTCACCGAGGCCCTGGAGAGGTGCGCAGCCCGGGGGCGCCCGTGCGAGTTCTCCGGGACCCCCAGACGCATCACACCACACAACCCAGTTCCTCCCACAGAACCTTCCTGGCCTTCCCCTGCACCAAGGTCTACTTCTCCCACATGGACCTGCGCCCGGGCTCGGCTCAGGTCAGAACGCACGGCCAGAAGGTGGCCGCCGCGTTGACCCTCGCTGCTGATCACCTGGACAACCTGCCCAGCACATTGTCGGCTCTGGGCGACCTGCACACGACCAGGCTGCGCGTGGACCCAGCCCACTTCAGGGTGAGTGCGAGGGCTGGGGTGCCAGGGCCAGGGGGCAGGTGGACCCGAGGAGCCGGTGTACCAATGATGCGGTCCCCGCAGCTCCTGGGCCACTGCCTGCTGGTGACCCTCGTGCGGCACTTCCCCGGAGACTTCAGTCCTGCCCTGCAGCTCGCAGTGGACAAATTCCTGGACCATGTGATCTCAGCGCTGACCTCAGGGCGGGAGGTCCCAGTGGTGGAGTAAAAGATCCTGCAGCCTGTGAGTGTCCTCCCTGGGGCGTGGCGGGGGGCTCTGGGTCCCAAATCCCCACACACATCCTTGGCCGGGACAGGGACAGGCTCAGACACACCTGTGCCCTGAGTGCCTCAGAAGTTGGTGGGCAGAGCTGTGGGGGTTCCTGAGAGACCAGTTCAGCCAGCCCCTCCCTAGTCGGATGGCTCCCACAAGGTCCTCACTCGTGGCTGCTGGAGATGAGGGGCTCTCCAGCGGATCCACAGGGAGGGGGGTCTCTGCTGCCCCAGGCTGGGACCTGCAGTTCTATGGTGGAGGCGGACTCTGGACCAGGGTGGGTGGTTGTCCAGCCAGGGTAGGAAGACCTGCAGCTGCCCCCACTCAGCCCCCACCCCGCTCCCAGCTTCTGACCTGCAGTGAGGTGGTCCCTTTCTACCCCAAAGTGCTGCACATACCCTTCCCAGGGACATCCTGTGAGGTTCCCAACCAGGCCACCCTTCACGCCACACAGCAGAGCTCGGAGCTTCATTCCTGGGCACTCACCAGCATACCTGCCACCACTGCCCTCTACTGGCCAAACCTGGTCAGGACTCAGCCAGGGAGGAGCGCTCCAGGGTGAGCCAGATTCCTCACAGAGGTCAGGGACCCAACTCCTTTGCGGGCCAGTGTCCCTCAGCTCCCCATGCCCACACATCCCACAGATGCCCACACATCCCACAGATGCCCCCTCCTCCAGTGAGTGCCCTTCTGCTGGGTGAACAGCTTGGCACGGTGTCCTGCCTGTCACACTGCTGCTAGCTGGACGCATCCCTGCCAATGTCAGTGTGGGGGCCCGCCCAACGCCTGAGCTCACCTGCAGGCCTTGACAGGAGAGATCCCACGTGTGCTTTGCTGTCATCCAGCTCACTGGGGGCACTGCCCAAGTAGAGGTCCCAGCCCACAACATGTGCTGCATGGGCTGTCAGGCACATGCTGAGCATGGTCCCCCTTCCAGGAACCACCCAAACTACCACAAACCCCCAAACCTGAGGGAACCGCACCTCCGAGCCCCAGACTTACAGGTCACCAGAGGCAGAGCCGTGGGGCAGGCCTGGGTCAACTAGACCTGTACTGCTGGGAGGATGGGGCCCCAGCAGCAGCCACCTGGAGCTACCAGAGAAGGGGGTGTCATCTATGCTGCACTCCCAGCACATGTGGGTCAACGCCACTCCTGGGCCTCACACTGGTAAAATACTACTGGTGCATACAGCAATTCACAACCAGAGAAAGGGTCCCAAATCCACTGAGGAAAGGCTGTGTGGCCAGGGCCCTCAAGTCACTGCCCGAGCAGCCCTGGCCACGGCCACAGCACTGGCCTGGGGTGGTTGGCCACCCCCAAGGCACACGCACGAGCCACACGAGGGACTCCGATCTGCTTTTCTGCTGGCATCCACCTGGCAGACCCAGGCAGGGACTGGCTTTGGCTGACACGGACCCAGCCCCTGAGGGCACTGGGAAATGAATAAAAGGATGAAAACACATTTGGGAAAAAAAGGGGGAAAGAAAGAAAAAGGCCAGAGCCTGGCACAGTGGCCTATTGGATCAAGTCCTTACTTTGTATGTGCCAGGATCACATATGGGCACCAGTTCATCTCCTGGCGGCCCCACTTCACAGCCTCGTACTTGTGACCTGGGAAAGCAATCGAGGATGGCCCAATACCTTGGGACCCTGCACTCATGCGGGAGACCTGAAAAAGCTCCTGGCTTTGGGTTGCTTCAGCTGCGGCCACTGCAGCCACCTGGGGAGTGAATAAGTGGATGGAAAATCTGTCTCTCCTTGTCTCCATAAATCTGACTTTCCAGGGCCTGGGGCCGTGGCCTAGTGGCTAAAGTCCTCACCTTGAACGGGATCCCATCTGGGCGCCGGTTCTAATCCCGGCAGCTCCACTTCCCGTCCAGCTCCCTGCTGTGGCCTGGGAAAGCAGTCAAGGATGGCCCAAAGCCTTGGGACCCTGCACCCATGTGGGAGACCTGGAGGAAGTTCCTGGCTCCTGGCTTCGGATCGGCGCAGCACCAGCTCTTGTGGTCACTTGGGGAGTGAATCTTCGCACAGAAGATCTTCCTCTCTCTGTCTCCCCTCCTCTCCGTATATCTGACTTTCAATAAAAATAAAATCTTTTTTTAAAAAATCTGGCTTTTCAGTAAAAATAAATAAATCTTACGGAAAAAAAAAAGTCAGCCCAGTAAGTTGGAAGTGATTCAGCTCTTCCCACTCCCAACAAGGTGCTGGGTCTTCCTTGAAACAATGTGCCAGCAGGTGCACGGAGACTCAGGCATGGGGACCCCCACCCTGCCAGGATATCCTGTCCTGTGCAGATGGCTGGCAAGGACAAACAGCTGGCCCTCAGGGCTGGCCAGCTCCAAGGCAACCTCTGCACCCTGCAGGGACAGGATGGGGTGACTATGAGACAACTCCGGCTTCCAGTCTGGTCCTCATGCACATGTGGAACTGGGAGAGGACATCAGTCAGCCGGCCTTGCCAGAGGACAACCACTGATGGTCTGAGGGGGCTGCTGCCCAAGATGCCAGCACCCAGCTCCTCCACGGGTGTCCCATGTCTGTTTGGGAGAGGGAGTGCAGGGCACAGGAGCTGGGTACAGCATGAGGCAATGCCATCCCTCCACAATGGAGCCTGCAGAATGGGCTGTGTCCACCCCACCACATCGTGTGCCCCTGCAGGAGGGCAGCGCAGAGCCATTGTGAGTTGCCCATCATTTATTCGCCTTCCGCCCAGCCCCAGGACACAGAAGTGACTGAACAACTCTGGAAACTCACAGCTAGCATCAACACAATAAAGTCAACTACAAAAGAGAAGTCGTAGCCAGCACGCTGGAGGGCGGCCGCGCAGGACACGTAGGGTCCAGGGCCAGCACGGCTCAGATCTCGCCGGCCTCCTTCTCCTCCGACCTCCGCACTGCTGCCTTCCCATTGGCACCCTCAAGCCTCCAGTCCAGGGGCACCCGCTCGCTGCGCCCACACTCCCAGGACTCTTCTCTTGAAGGTCGGTCTCTGGAGAACCTGGGAAGGGGAACCAGAAGGTCAGTGTGAGCATGCACCCCAATACACCCTGGGAAGGCCAAGTGCTTGCTCAAAGTGACAGACAGGTAATTCCACGTGAGGGAGAGCTTCTGACCGATGGACGGTAGTACATGAGGACCCAGCCCAGCACCCTCACCGTGTGAACAGGACCAAAGGGACAGGGAGAGGGGAGCAGGAAGGCAGCCTCTGGCATGGTCCAGCTGAGGACCCATGGCCAACCCCACCTCCTACCAGTGGGACCAGAAGGCCTGGCTGCAGACGCCCACTGCCCTGGGAGGGGCTCCCACCCAGCGACAACTCCTCAGGCATTCTGAGTACTAACTTGTATTTTGCACTTCCATCCCTGGAAAACCGGCGGTGACCCCGGCTGTGGCTCTGGGAACGGCTGCGGTGGCGCCGGTGCCTGTCCCGCGAATGGGACCTCGATGGCTTTCTTCGTTCTCGGGAGGCAGATCTTGACCTCCTCCGACGGCGGTCCCGGGAACGTGACCTAGAAAATCCAAACAGCAGCTCAGAGGGGCAGGACTGCAGAGGAGCCTGAAGCCCCTGCCTTACTGGGGTCACCAGCACCATCACCTCCTCCAACCACCCAATGCCCATGCCGCCCCCAGGCAGGCCTGCCGGCCGCTAAGGCAAACACAGGAAAGTTCAAAGTGCCTCAGTACATCTACAAACCTACCTCCTGCGGTCTCTGCTTCTCGATCCAGACCTGAAAAGGGAGAAGATGAGTGAGCCCCCAAGCAGGCTACCCCCCAGCGTTCTGCAGGACGCTGGTGCTCACACACCCCAGCTGTGCAGACATGGAGCCACGCGACTCCAAACACAGGCTCATTACTAGTGCTGCTTACACCCTATTTACCAACAGAGTTCACGTCACGTCCATTCTCGCCCTGAGCGGCCAGCAAAACCAGGGACCCCGCACGTGTCTGCCATGTGCAGTCTACAGAGGACCACTCAAATGGAGTGCCCAACCACAGCTGTGCTCACCTCTGCAGAAGACCAGCACAGGAGACACTGCCCTTTCTGATTTCTCCACTAAGCCAAGTGCAGCTTCAAGAACTTGAGCACAGCTACCCGTCTCCAGCGTCTGCCGTGTCTGTGGCTCCATGGCTTCCAGAACTCTCAAAGTGAGGTTGTCCACAGCCAAACCTGTCACTACCACCCTATCCCACCCCTACCACTCAGACATACAAGCAAACAAGGTCAGCCATGCTGCTTCCCCACGCAGCACATAGGCAGGTCCCATTAACACAGCCAGGATGCTCTGCCCCATGGTTGAGGTCCTGGACCCTCCCGATCAGCTCCTCAGGGTCAGCCCCCGCTGGACACCCGCTGCTCTCAAGCTGGTCAAGATTCCCCTCCCCTCCTGTCCACACACACACACCAGGCTCACCTTCTGCTCAGCCGCTCCTCCCGTTCTCTCTCTTCTCTCCTCCGCAAGCGATCCTGGTTCCTCTTCTCCTGCTTCTCAGCCACAGTTTTCTGACAAACACGAGGACAGGGGTGTGACTGCAGTGTAACAGAAGAGTTTCACACCCACACTGGTGCTCTGCAACCTCAGGGCATTCTTAGGAATCAGGAACACAGTGCAACTCCTCACCAAGGCAGCGGAGAGCACACAGAGACCTGACTTAGGGATAAGCGCCTAGACGAGTGCTTCGACCTCCAAGCCCAATGGCAAGTCCTTGGGCCCCTGAATCCATGTGTGAGATCCAGATGAAGCCCCTGGTGGCAGCCTGGTCCAGATCTCTCTGTAAAATCTTATCTTTTAGATAAATAAACTTTTATCCAAAAACTAACTCCTCATTAAATCTTACCAATTTACCTAAGTCACAGGAAATTGCCCAGACTGTTTGTAACTAATCCAGAAAGGGAGTTTCTCACCCAAAGGAGGCCCCACGAACATCATGGTAAAAGAGAAGAGCCCTGTGACCCTGCAGCCCTGCTGCCAGGCAGTAGCCCACTCCAGTGCTGGCTTCTGCCCAGCCTCAAAACCAACAGCAGGAAGACGGGAGCAGCCGCAAAGCCATGCACACAGGGAGGCATGGGCAACACCACACAGGGCCACGGCATTCCCTGCAGGAACAGCCCTGACTGCACACAGGCTCTGCCACGCCCAGCAGGGGAGGTGGCACAGAGTGGTGAGGGATGACGCAGGTGCTGGTCTGCACAGAGCAGCCTTTCGTTATGGAACAGCCTCCGGGTAACGACACACGGAAGGCAGCAGTGGCGGCACAAGTGCAAGCACCCTGCCAGCCATGAGGGACACCGACGGACACCAACGTGGAGCCCTGTTGCTGCTCTGGCTGGGCTCAGCTCTGGCTCACCCAGTCCTCCCAGGAGCAGACCAGGAAGTTCTCTATCTTGTCTTTCAAATAAAATGTAAGTGAATAGGAATTTACAAGCAAAATTTCTAGAGTAATCACAAGGAATCTGAAGCTCAGAGAAGAGAACACTTCCATCCTAGCTTCCAGGCCCCAAGCCAGTCACCTAGGGCACCCTTGGGGTGGGGGACAGCTGGTTGCCTGCTGCCCAAAGGGACCACCCTTCCCTGAAGACCACCGAGGCAGCATTCACACTTCCCAGGGAGCTGCCCACCTGACCACAGAAGTGGGAAACCCAGGTCAAAGTATCAGTCAACCCTAAAAAAAACCGATACCAGAGACATCAGCCAGAAACCTACCCCAGGGGTCTCCACAGACACACCAGCTAGAACTCTACACTGGGCCTTCCACAGACACAACCACCACAACCTTACACTGCCCGCACCCCCGCCCCTAGGGCTCCAGGACACGACCACAGACGTAAACACAAGTCATGTGTCCAAACATGACATTCACAAGGACACCTGCCCAGCTTCACCCGGACATCACCCTGGGTGTTAACCACTGTGTTCAAAGACCAGGGATTCAAAACCTTCATGCAGGGGCCAGTGCAGTGGCAACAGCTACGTTAACCCTGCACCTACAGGGCCAGCATCCCATATGCGTAATAGCTCAACTTCCAGCTGCCCCGCTTCCCATCCAGCTCCCTGCTTGTGGCCTGGGAAGGCAATGGAGGACAGCCCAAAGCCTTGGGACCCTGCACCTGGAGGAAGTTCCTGGCTCCTCATTGCTCAGCTCTGGCCACTGCAGCCATTTGGCAAATGAATCTTTAGATGAAAGATCTCTCCCCTTCTCTTTGAAAACCTACCTTTCCAATAAAATAAATAAATAAATAAATAAATCTCAAAACAAAACAGACAATCCCCCTCCCCCAGTGCAGCACATTAGGGTGCTGCCTGGGTATCAGCACGCCCTTTTGGGAACTCAGGTTCAAGGCCTGAATCTTGTGTTTCCAGTTCCACACACCATCGATGAGCCAGGGAAAGCAGTGGACGGCTCCCAAGTGTCCGTGCCCTTGCTCCCCAGTGGGAGACCCAGCTTGAATACCACCGTCCGGCTCAGCCCGCCTGTTCCACCACCGAGGCCATTTGAGAAGTGAACCAGCAGTTGGACAATCTTTTTCTGTCCCGTACTCCCACCTGTCATGTTACCTTGCAAGTAAAACTATTAAAAAGAAGCCATTTCTCAGTTGTAGTGAATATGCAATGGTCCCAGCAGGGTGTCACTGCCACCCTCATGGGATACACGGAGCTGAGAGCTTGGTCCAGCTCAGCCTGGCCATGTCCTGGGTGCTCCAGAAATGTACCCACCAATGGGTGGAGAATCCTGTGTCTTAAGAACATTTGTTTTAATATCAATAACACTCTGGGAAAGAAATACAACACAAGGTTTGCTTTTATTCCCCCCTGTAAATGAATACTCCCCCAAAAATTATACAAAAAAAATTATACTTAAAAAAAATGTTTAAGAAACTTAGAAAATAAGAAATGTAATAATCACAAGACTCCTGAGATTCTCCCAGACACACACATACCCTCAACTGATCAAGCTTCTCTCGGATCTGAATGAAACCCAAGTGCAGCTTGCCCCCAAAATGGTCTGCCAGACGGCGGTCGTTGTCATGGAGCCCAAGGTAGGCTGAGCAGACCTCACAGACACGCAGCTTCTGCTGCTGGAAGCTGGACGCAGGCATGGAATTCCGGTACTCCTCCTGGTGAGAAGGAAAACAGGTGAGGAGCCATATGTCCTCCACAGTAAAACAAGCAAGGGGTGAGCAGACAACTTGAAAGATCTTCCATCCGCTGATTCACTCTCCAAGTGGCCACCACAGCCAGAGCTGGTCTGATCTGAAGCCAGGAGCCAGGAGCCTCTTCGAAGTCTCTCACACAGACACAGGGCCCCAACCAAGGCTTTGGGCTGTCTTTGACTGCTTTCCCAGGCCACGACCAGGGAGCTAGATGGGAAGTGGAGCAGCTGGGACACAAACTGGTGACTACATGGGATCCCAGTGGTTGCAAGGTAAAGGACTTTAGCCACTCACTACCGTTCCAGGCTCTAGAGAGTACTTCTAAACATTAACAATTTTGACATATCTGGCACTACGGCATAGCAGGCCAAGTCTCCACCGTGACTCTGGCATCCTCTATGGACACCAGTTCAGTTTGAGTCCCAGCTGCTCCACTTTCCATGACACTCCCTGCTAACATGCCTGGGAAAGCAGCACAGGGTGGCCATGTGAGAGCCCCTGGACTCACATGGGAGACCCCAAGAAGCTCCTGACTCCTGCCTTCTGCCTGGCTCTGTCCTGCATATGTGGCCAGGGAGTGAACCAACGGATGCAAGACCTCTCTATGATTTTCAAGTAAAATAAATAAATCTTTAATAAAAATTCTGATTCACTCTCTCAGTGTACACAGTGGCTGAAGGTGGGTTGAGCTCAGAGTCTGGGTGTCCCACAACTCCTTGAGCCATCACACACCATCTCCTGGCAGCAAGCTGGAGGGGATGGGAGGAGAGACAGGACAGACTCCACTACAGTGTGCGGGCAGTGGAACCAGCAGGGGAGAAAAAGAAAACCCTGTGCCAAAGACTCCTGTAGGGAAGGCATTACGGCACAACAGAGGGTTGACTGTGACTGCACGTGGCAGCGGGTGCCCAGCACCAGGGAGCTGCAGCAAGCTTCACTGTTGTTGACTCATGCTCCTGTTATTGCCCTGGGAGGAAAGAAGACAACCACCCTGACACACGCGTGTGAGACTTGGGTGGAGCTCCTGGCAGCCCCACTCTTGTGGGCACTGAGGGAGTAAGCCAACCAGTGCAAGACAGCTCTGTGTCTCTAGACTTTTCCAATACATTAAAAATAAATTTTAAAAAGACACGCCTGAGTACTAACTGCCTTGGTCAGTGCCCCACCACCCCACAGACAGACAGACAGACACACACACACACACACACCTCCGCTTCTTTTTTCTTAGTGCGAACTTTCTCTACTTCTGTAAGAATCTTCTGGGATTCATCCACATTTCCTTCAGCTCCCAGCTGCTCGGCCTTGGCAAGGAGTTTTCCTATTTCTTCGTTCAGCTCGTGTACTTTTTCTGCCTGAGGCGGGAGAGAATCAGGTAAGCCAAGTCCAAACACAAGACATGGGATGCCAAGGAGGCAACGCTTCTCCAGTGCAGAGGCGGAGCCACACAGCTAGCCACACATTCATGGTGCCTTTCCCCATCAGCCAACAGTGTGCTGCGCCCTGACCAAGGCCCATCACAAGCTGCTCCTTTCCTGAACCGTCTCTTTATACTTTAATTACAGGTGACAACATGTCTAGGTTTAAATGCACCAAGTATGCAGGACAAACTCTGCAACTTCAGGAACCAGACAGCAGTCATGGCCAAGATCACAAGACTCCACGCTGAGGAGGAGTAGCTGCTGCTTACACAGTCATCCCAAAGCAACAGGTGGGCGTGCAAGCCCTACCGGATCCCAGCTATCTGCAAGTCCACAGCCCGTGTCCTCACTGTTCTTAACCAGACCCGAAAAGAAGACCTTTGCCAAGAGTAAGAAGCCAAGACTTGGACCTGTAGCCCAAGAACATAGCCATTCCACACCCAGGGCCGCCCTGAGGCCGAGTCAGCTCACACAGGGCATGTAGGCGTACCTTCGCTGAGACCTCAGCGCTGATCTCCTCCTGTGTCTCCGCCAGCCGTTTCTTGGCCAGCTCTGTTCTCCGGTCACATTCTGCGATGAAGGACTCCAGGTGGTCCATCGCCTGCTCAGGAAAAGCAGAGAGCTCTCGTCCACCAGGTCTGCCTGAGGACCCCGCCACAGTGGCTACCCATGGCTTGCAGGCTGTGTTCAAGAGCTGTGCTGTAGCTAATGCAGTACACCGTTGTAAATCTGGGCTCTCCCACATCCAGGCACCCTCTAATCTCATTCTTATTTTTGCCCTAAATTTGCAAAAGGATCTGTAACATTCTGAGGCAAAATTGAAAACTTGGCAAGCTTTGTGGCATAGCAAGCTAAGCTGCCACTCTGGGCAGAGTGTCTGGGACAGTCCTGGCCACTCCAGGGGGACAGCAGAGGATGGTTCCTGCCACCCACAGGACAGACCAGGCTGGCCTGGCCTAGTGGTAAATTTGCGGGTACACATGGCAGATCTCTGTCCCCTCCAAGCATATGCAAACACAGACGCCTTAAGCCCTCAACTGCAGAGCTGTGGGGACACAGGCCATGTACCCACTGGGCTCCAAGCACCATGAACAGTCATTCCCGCGTGTCCTGAAGGAACAGACCCCCACCTCAAAGACACAACAGAACAAACATTACTGGGAGCTGGGAGCATTTTCATTACTGTCTACTGTCTCAAATGACAGGGACGCTGCTTCTTGGTCACCCAGGGGACACACCCTAGAGTCACTGGTCATGGGATGAGCTATCATGACACGTTAAAATTAGGCAATGGTCTTTAAGATCCTACGGGTTTGTTTGTGGCGGGAAGAACAGCCTCCTTGTCACACCTGGAGGCATCCTGCTCACCTCAGCCTCTGTAGAAAGGACACCAAGTGCTGGCCAGTGCCCACCAGCACCAAGTGCGTACCTAAGCTAGAGCCCACAGGGTGGCCACCACATCCTTTTCCTGAGATGGAGAGCAGAAAATGGGTGTACGGTGAAGTTCCCGGTAACAGGAACTCCTAGAATATTCCACAGCAAAGAGACTTGGGCGTAGCTCAGGATGGGAGAAGGCTCGGAGCAGCACCAAGATTTCCCAAGTATGACTCCTGGGGTAAGACCATGCCCCGGAGTGCAGCCCATTCTCGCAGGTGCCGGATGCATCCCCGCGTGTTCAGACAGCAGGCACCAGCGCCTCTGCCAGCTCCTGCAGAGCTGCACATGGCCTACCGGAGCCCACAGGGACAACAGCTGACAGGGCAGGAGGCCTCTCCCCAGAAGCACTGACATCGTGGACTTAGTCGTGAGACGAGCCAAGACCAGAAACAAGCCTGCCCTGCGCTGGGAGGCTTTTTCTGCACACCCCCTTCCTGCTTCCTGCTAATGGATCCTGGAGACGTGTGGCTCTGTCACCGTGAGCACACAGCAGATGGGAGATCTCTGTCAACTACACAGAGGGTTCTCTCTTCTGCTTCAGTCCTAATGCAACAGCACAATCTGGGACAGCGGCCTGGCCAAGTGATAAAGATGGCCAGTGTGGGAGCCAGCATCATGGCTCAACACTCCAACCCTCCACCTGCATCCCCTAAGGGTGCCAGTTCAAGTCTCAGCTGCTCCACTTCCAATGCAGTTCTGTGATATGCACCTGGAGAAGCTGCAGAAGATGGCCCAAGTGCCTGGACTCATGAACCCACTATGAGAGACCCAAAAGAAGCTTCTGGCTCTAGCCTAGGCCAGACCCAGTGGCCATATGTGCAGTGAACTAGCAAATAGAAGATCTTTAATTCTGCATTTCGTTCCAGTTGTGGTATACATGCTGCCGAAGCAAACACCTAATCCTGCCTTTCAAACAAGTAAAATAAACTTTATTATTATTTTTTAATGCACAGAGAAAGATCTTCCATCTGTTGCTGTACTCCCCAAGCGCTGCCTGGGCCAGGCAGAAGCCAGGACCCCAGAATTCCACCTGACTCTCCCAATGCCTCTTGGGGTGTGAATTAGCCGCAGTCTGGAATTGAAGCAAAGTACTCAGGGGTCACTCCAGCGGCTCACTGCCACCCCAGCTCCCTCAGGACTCTCCTCACAGGTGTACAGTAGAGCCATGGCACTACCTGCCCGGGTGATCATATATCAACTGTGTGGGTGTGAACTGCCTCAGCACTGTGGGCCCCTTTTTAAAAAAAAATACTTACTTATTTTTATTGCAAAGTCAGGTATACAGAGAGGAGAGACAGACAGGAAGATCTACGGTCCTATGATTCACTCCCCAAGTGACTGCAACAGCCGGTGCTGCGGCAATCCGAAGCCAGGAGCTAGGAATCTCCTCCAGGTCTCCCACGCAGGTGCAGGTCCCAAAGCTTTGGGCCGTCCTCGACTGCTTTCCCTGACCACAAGCAGGGAGCTGGATGAGAAGTAGAGCTTCAGGGATTAGAACCAGTGCCCATATAGGATCCCAGGGTGTTCAAGGTGAGGACTTAAGCTGCTAGGGCACTGCGCTGGGCCCAGCCCTCTGGGTTCTTACACCGATTGCATGAGTGCCAACTCCCTAGTTATAATCAGATCCAGCTTCATTTGAACAACTAAGGACCATGAGAGACGAGCTGATCCATGTTGTTCCAGGAACCTGGTATACATCACAAGCAAGATGCCATGAGGACAAAAGGCTAGCTATGCTTCTGCTGAACTGGAGACCTAATCTTTGCATTTTTACTATGTGAACAGTACAGAAATGTACCGCTGTCTAACTTTCTGATAAATTTTAAAAGTCAGCTTGTTAGCTTTCTGGATGAGCACCTTAGGGGTCGGCACTGGAGGCCATGAGGCTAACAGCTGCAACGCCAGCATGTGAATCAGAAGGTGGGTCGAGAGTCCTGAGCCAGATTCTTGGAAAGCACCTGGGAGGCCAGTGGACGACAGTGTGGTGGACTCAGGTCCCCATCCCATGTACGGCTCCTGGGTTTGGCAGGGCCCAGTGAGGCCCTTGTGGGGAGTGACCCAGGGAATAGAAGTTAACTTTTCTATTAACTCTGCCTTCCAAATAACTGCATCTTTACAAGCCACGAGCATCTCACAGCAGAATATCGAGTTCTGTTCTTCACTCCAGCTTCTTGCCAGGCGGGGCGGGGAGCACGCAGCAGGCAGGGCTCAAGGGACTGGGTCTCTGCTAGTCACGTGGGAGTGTGAGACCTGGGATGAAGCCCTGACTCGAGGGGCTGGCACTGTACTGCCACATGGGCGCTGCCTCAGGCGCTTGGGTCCAGGTGGATTGTAGTTCTGGCTTCTGGTTTTGGCCTGACCCAATATCAGCTATACGGGCACTGGAGAGCTCTAGAGCTCCCACTCCATCCTGTAACTTTCCAAAAAAAAAATTATAAATGTATTTTTGGGGGCCAGGGCAATGGTTCAACTGGCTAATCCTCTACTTCTAAGTGCCGGCATCCCAAATGGGCACCCAGCTGCCCGCTACCCATCTCGTTCCCTGCTTGTGGCCTGGGAAAGCAGTAGAGGATAGCCCAAGTCCTGCGGCTCCTACACCCGCAACGTGAGACCCGGAAGAGAACAGTGTGTGACACAGGTGGGATTCGGGTTCCAGGTTGCAGACTGTTGCCCTCAGCACAGTTCAGGAATTAGGGCTAGGGAACACGTCTCGCTCTGATTAACAACCATCACGTAAAGGCGGGGATGCGGTAAAGGCCCCCCCCCCCCCAGCTTTGCAGAAGCACCACTGCTCAGTTCCCAACTCAGTCCCCTGGGGAAACAGCAAATGACGCCTCTCACAAAACTACTCACACCCCTGTGAGGTAGACCCTGACAGCTCTGAGCTCTTGGCCTAGGCACAGCCCAGCCCGGTCCCTGGCAGTCACTGAGGGACTCAGCAACAGACGGAAGGCCTGTCTCCCTCTCGCTGTAACTGCCTTCGAGACAAACCTTCACATGAAGGCGTCCACTGGGGACAGAGTCTGCTGCCCACACTCTACGGGACTCCTGGCATGCAGCCCCAGGCTTCCCACGGAGGCTGGCCTAGCTCTGCCTCCTTCTGGCGTTTAGAAGCGAGTCCACAAAATAGGAGCTGTGCTCTGCCCTTCAAGTAGCAAACAACAAACACCACCAGGGAGTGAATGGGCTTGGAGTTCCTGTGTCCAGTCCCTGCTCTGCTCACGCGCTGCCGCCCACAGGAAGCCCCAGATGCAGGCCCTAGCTCAGGCCCTAGCTCAGGCCCGGCTCAGCTCAGCAGCTGGGGTACAAGAGCTCAGTCCCTTTCAAAGAAATAAACAAAGCCGAGGGTGCGGCCCAGTGGGTTAAGACAACGCTTTTGCCAAGTCAACATTCCAAGTCAGAGTACAGGTTCAAACCCAGGTTAGTCCACTTGTCCAATGTCCAAGCACATGGACACTGGTACCTCCTCCCTGGCTACTGGCTTCAGTGTGCTGCAGTGACCCAGTGAATGAACCAGTGGAATGGTGTTCTCCAACGTCTCCTCATACTCTGTTCTTTCAAAAGGAAATTTAAAGGGCCAGTGTAGTGTTCAGTGCAATAGCGTAGTGGTTAAAGTTCTCACCTTGCACGCCTTGAATGGGATTCCATATGGGTGCCGGTTTGTATCCCGGCGGCCCTGCTTCCCATCTAGCTCCCTGCCTGTGGCCTGGGAAAGCAGTCAAGCACAGACCAAAGCTTTGGGACCCTGCACCCGTGTGGGAGACCCGGAAGAAGCTCCTGGCTCCTGGCTTCGGAATGGCTCAGCTCCAGTTCTTGAGGCCACTTGGGGAGTGAACCATAGGACTGATCTTTCTGTCTCTCCTCCTCTCTGTATATCTGACTTTGCAATAAAAATAAAATAAATTTAAAAATAAAAAAAGGGCCAGTGTAACGGCTTCTCAGCTTACGTCTCTATGAGTGGTGCCAGTGTCCTGCACGGGTCCCAGCTTGAGTCCCGGCTGCTTCCAGCTCGTGGCCCAGGAAAGCACGATGACCCAAGTGCTCAGGCAGCTGCCCCAACATGGGAGACAGGCAAACAATGCTCCTGGCTTCGGACTGGCTCAGCTCCAACCGCTGCAGCCATTTGAGGATGCAACAGCAGATGGAAGATAGCTCCGCTTTTCAAATAAGAATAAATGACTCTTAAAATTTTTTTTTAAACAAAACTTTCTGGAAGAATCAGATCCCATTAGCACACAGCATGACTGTGTCACTGCGCCCAGTGTACAGAGGACGTCCACCTGCTGGGCTCCTGCCTTTCACGGTCATTACAGCGTGAACACTCCACGTGCAGTTGTGCTCAGAAGAGCTGCCTATATCGACACTGCGGCCAACCCTGAGCAACCCCCCAGCCTTCTACCTGTCTGTTCCGAGCTGTGCTGCCCTGTGCCGACCCCTGCAGACACTGCAAACACTGTCTCAGTCCTCTGACCCATGGCTTTCTGCGGGAGGGTTAACAGAAGCTGCACGCAGGGGACCCAGGAAATGTGCCCTGCAGCCAGGCTCCTGAACAGACCCGTCCCCCTTTTCCCACCTCACTGTGACAGGTGTCCATCTGCAGGGCCGATGGATCCACCTTTCTCCCCAACCTCCACGTTTCACCACGTCTCCACATGGCACAAATCATGCCGAAGAACCAACTGGCGAGCCTGTAATTGCCAACTCTGCTCACCAGGCCCTACTGACTGTACACTGGTTAGACACATTATTCACAACAAGTGATCATGCACTCGTCTCCGCTTCAGCCACTGATGTATTCCTTCTGCAGGGCTAAATCCGACCATTCAAACTGCACTACACTTTGTGATCTAATGGATAAAATTCCAAACCCAAGACCTCACCCTGATGCACCTGCACACCCACGAGTTCTGAAACATCCCCAAGGAACGGCTTGCCCACACGTGTGTCTCCAGACCCCGTGGGCCGGAGGAGCTGCGTTAGCCCGTTCAAATGTCCCCACACTGAGCCTACAGTGTCTTGTTAATCACTGCTTAAGGCTACTGGTTTGAAAAATTTATTCCATGCTGTCATATGGATACAACAATTAATTACACATACAGGAGTGGAGTTTAAAAGGTGTCCAGCACATAAAAATAATATTTGAAGAGACATAAACACCAACCACATTGATTTGACCAACATATCCCTAACATGTATATTGTACTATAAAACCGTAGCCCACAATCAAGTACAAATATTTTTCAACGAGAAAAACTTTGGAGTGGGCAGTGTGGCGGAGTGGATAAAGCTGGCACCTATGATGGCAGCCTCTCAAAGGGTGCTGCTCCATGTCGCAGCTCCCTACTAACGGCCTGAGAGAACAGATGAGGAGGATCCAAGTGCTGGAGCTCTGCCAGCCATGCAGCAACCCTACACGGAGCTGGGAACTTCAGCCTGGCTCAACCATGAATGAGCCAAGGATGGAAGACCTTCCTCTGTAACTCTGGCCTTTTGGCTAAGATCAAGGGTAGAACAGTTTTTTTCAAAGATTTATTTGTATTGAAAAGGCAGATCTTCAGAGAGAAGGAAAGTCAGAGGGAAAGATCTTCCATCTGCTGGTTCACTCTACAAGCGGTCGGAGCTGAGCCAATTTGACGCCAAGAGCTTCTGGGTCTCCCACAGGCTGCAGAGCCCAAGGACTGAGGCTATTACCTGCTGCTTTCCCAGGCTATTAGCAGCAAGCTACAGACATGAGCCCATTGGGGATGCCAGTGCTTGGAGGTGGAGTGTTAGCCCGATGAGCCAATGAGCTGGCTCAGTGGAACTCTCTGAAACAGAAAGGGAATAACCCTTTAAGAAGCGAAGGGGCTGGTGTGGCGCTGCGGCAGGCTAAGCCACTGCCTGAGATACCCTCATCAGTGTGCCGCCACAAGTTCTGGACACTCTCGTTGATCCAGGTCCCTGCTAATGCTCCTGGGAAGGCAGCACAGGGCAAGCCAAGTCCTCGGTCCAAGCTACCACAGGGGAGAACCAACAGGCGCTCCAGCCTCAGGGCCTCAGCCTGTCCCAGACGCTACGGGCATCAGGGAAGCCAACCAGCAGAGGAAAGACATCTCTCTCCCTGTTACTCTGTTTTTCAAATAAAAACAAATTCAAGTACAAAACAACAAAAACAGTTCATTTATTTCAAAGGGAGACAGATTTTCCACCTGCTGGTTCACTCTATTTATGCTCCCACCAACCGGGGCTTCAGCAAGACCCAAGTCCAGCCATGACCCTGCACGCATGCAGCGGACCAAGCGCTCACCTCACTATGGCCTCTCAGGCAGGAATTGGCAGGAAGCCAGACAGAAGCAGAAACCCATTTTGCACCAACATCTGCCCCCCCCCCCAACACTCACAAACATCAGGGGCAGTATTGTGGTACATCAGGTTAAGCAGCAGCCTGCAATACCAGTATCCTATATGGGCACTGCTTGAAGATCTGGCTACCCCATGTTGAACCCGGCTCCCTGCAGTGGACAGGAATGCAGTGGAGAACAGCCCCAAAGTTTGGGCCCAGGAAGCACTTGGCTCTAGTGGCCCTTTGGGGAGTGAACCAACAGATGGATCTCTCTGCTAACACTGCCTTTCAAAGAAGTTAAAAAATATTTTTTAAAATTGTAAAACCAATAATTTTGTATAAGAAACTATATAACTTGAAGGGGAAAGAAGCCTTTACTTGAGTTTTGTGGTTTTTGTTTGCTGAAAGGCATAGTAACAGAGGAGGGGAAGAAGAACTTTCCTCCTGAGGCTGCAGCCAAGGGTGGGCCAGGCTGCAGCCCGGAGCCAGGAGCTCAACCAGGCTCTCCTACAAGGAGGCTCTGACCGTCAGTCCCTCCCAGGCACAGAAGTGGGTTGCTGAATAGGAAGATGTGACCTTGAACCCAGGCACCCCGAGTGATCCCTTAACCACTGTGCTGCAAGGCCCTCACACCACACCTAGTCTGGCTAGTAATGGAGGCTTACCATAAAGCAGCTGCAACGGAATGACTAAATCATGCCTTCCCAAAGGAGCCCAAAAGAAAAACTGCTCTCACAGAACAGACACTGCCGATGGCGTGGCCCAGCAATGGCAAGCACACCAACAGACACGCAGGGCAGACGGGGTCAAAGTGTCACAGGCACATGTGGCCATGACTCGGACTCAAGGTCCAAGACAGGTTGCTCTGCAGGGCGATAATGACACAAAGGCTGTAAAGGATGAACTGTGAGTGCTCCTATTACTGCAGCCAAGATCATACCTGCTGCACGCTAAGCAGGACCAGGCACCGTGGCCTAGCAGCCAAAGTCCTTGCTTTGCACATGCCGACATCCCAGCTGCTCAGCTTCCCATCCAGCTCCCTGCTTGTGGCCTGGGAAAGCAGTCAAGGACGGCCCAAAGCCTTGGGACCCTGCACCCACGTGGGAGACCTGGAGGAGATTCCCGGCTCCTGGCTCCGGATCAGTGCAGCTCTGGCCATTGCAGCCACATGGGGAGTGAATGAGTGGGCCAAAGATCTTCCTCTCTGTCTCCTCCTCTCCTCCCCTCTGTATATCTGACTTTGCCATAAAAATAAATATAATCTTAAAAAAAAAAAAAAAAATAAGAAAGAAAAGAAAAAACAAAAGAGAAACCAGGGCATCACAAAGTTTTACCCCAGAACTTCCAGCTGCCGAAGTGCAACGGGCTAGCTGTGCCGAGTGGAGGGATGACATGACAGACGCTGTATCAGCAACAGGTGCAGGAGGCACTGGTCACAGTCACAGGGAGAACAGGCACAAGACGGGCAGCAGGGCAGCTGACACGGGGCACATGGCAGACACCCAGCCCCAGGAGCAGCTGACACAGGGCACACAGTAGGAAGTGCACCCAGGCCTGTGACTCGAGAAAGGAGTGCTTTCATGTCTTTCAAGCAGCAATGACAACAAATGGCGGCCAACAACTTGGATAAATTCAAGCTGTTAGGGGCCAGGGCCGTGGCACGGCAGGTGAAGCTCCTGCCCGCAGCACCGGCACCTCGAGTGAAGGATGGGGCTCAGGTCTTTGTCCCAGCTGCTCCCTGCCAATGTGCCTAGGGGAGCAGCAGAGCACGGTCCCAGTGTGTGGGCCCATGACCCACATGGCAAACCAGGAAAAAGTGGCTGCCTCGTGATTTCTGGCTTCAGACTGCCCCAACTCCAACCACTGCAGCCATCTGCAACTGAGCCTGCAGACGGAGGGCATCTCCCTGCCCCTTCTCTGTGACTCTGTCTCTCCAACAATAAATCTTTAAAAGACAAAAACTGTTGAAGAATAGCTACTCTATGAAACAATTTTCATAAAAACTCAAAAACAAAGAATGAAACACTCAAAGAAACATTGAAGGTGATGAAAACATCACTAAAGGGAAAATGGTAACAATTCATTCAGGACGGCTAGACAGTGGCAGCCGCAAAGATGCAGTAGAGTGGCAGGTGGGGGTGCTGGCCGCGCCCCCCTGCTAGGGGCCTGGGAGTGCCATCAGGGCACCTCGGTCTGAGGCCCTGGCTCCACCAGACTCCACGTCCTGCCCACACGCACCCTGGGAACAATCTACAGAGTTCTCTCACGGACTCTCGAAGGGGCGGGGGACCTGCCACACGGCAGCAGGGGCAGCACAGCTCACGGATGTGATATACTTGGTCAGCACAGCATTTGATTCTTCACAATAGGGAGGAAGGGTAAACCAAACTTACATCCAACTCAAAGAACAGATCCCGATCTCTACTTGCGATCTCATAATCAGCTCGGAGCGCCAGGTCGTGGATTCTAGTGCATTCTCCCAAATCCATCCGCTGTGGAAGAAGCAACAATGAACACAGGAGAACACTGTACAAAGCACGCAGGACTGCTACCTCCAGAGCCCCCCACACTTCTTCTCTGGGTACTTAAACTATGCTGAGAAAAGCAGACACACTATGACCAAGAAGCTGCTTTGCCCAGCACGGACATGGCACGTGCAGCTCCTCTAACAGGGCGATCGTCCCTCTTACAAATGGAGATAACTGGATGGTAACGTGTTTCCGCTGATTTGTGTGTGCATGCATCCAAGCCTTCAGCAAACACCACTGTGCGGGCAGGGTGGGTCAGCAAACAGCCTCACTGCTCCCTGGAAACTCCAGGCAATGCTTCCGGAAAGTTTTGCGCCCGAGACGCACACACAAAAGGAAGCAAAGGGCAGGTGGGCTTTGGCGGCACCACCGACCCGTCTGCGTAGCATCTGAATGCTGAGGGAAAATAAAGGGCTGGTGTTGCGGTGTAGCAAGTGAAGCTGCAGCCGGACTCGGCCCTGGCCACTACAGCTTCTAGAGAGAAAAAAAGCCAAGGAAGTAATCAGTCTCTCCTCTTCCCAGTAACTCTAAAAATTTATTTATTTTCATTGGAAAGGCAGATTACAAAGAGAAGGAAGGAAAGAAAGATCTCGGGGCCCGGCACGATAGCGTAGTGGCTAAAGTTCTCACCTTGAACACACTAGGATCCCCAATGGGTGCTGGTTCGTATCCCGGCAGCCCCGCTTCCCATCTAGCTCCCTGCCTGTGGCCTGGGAAAGCAGTCGAGGACGGCCCAAGGCCTTGGGATCCTGCACCCATGTGGGAGACCCAGAGGAAGCTCCTGGCTCCTGGCTTTGGATCGGCACAGCACCAGCCATTGCAGCCGCTTGGGGAGCGAACCATCAGACGGAAGATCTTCCGCTCTGTCTCTCCTCCTCTCTGTATATCTGCCTTTCCCATAAAAATAAATAAATCTTTCAAACAAAGAAACAAAAAAAGATCTTCTGTCTGCTGATTCACTCCCCAATAGCTGCAATGGCCAGAGCTGAGCTGATCCAGAGACAGGAGCCCGGAGCATCTTCCAGGTCTCCCATGTGGTACAGGGTCCCAAGGCCTTGGGCTGTCCTCAACTGCTTTCCAAGGCCACAAGCAGGAAGCTGGATGGGAAGCTGAGCAGCCGGGACATGAACCAGTACCCATATGGGTTTCTAGTGCTTGCAAAGCGAAGATTTAGAAATTAGGCTATTGTGCCAGACCCAGAATACCCCGCCCCCCCGGCCAAAGGTTCACTTAGCTGAGGACCCAGAACCATGGCTCAGTGGCTAAATCCTCACCACGCACACGCCGGGATTGCATATGGGCACTGGTTTGCATCCAGCTGCTCCACTTCCCATCTAGCTCCCTGCCTGTGGCCTGGGAAAGCAATAGAGGATGGGCCAAGGCCTTGGGTCCCTGCACCAATGTCGGAGACCTGGAAGAAGGTGCTGGCTCATTGCTTCCAATTGTCTCAGTCCCAAGCCATTGTGGCTACTTGAGGAGTGAACCAGCATAGGAAAGACCTTTCTATAAATCTGCCTTCCCAATTAAAAAAATTAAATCTTTAAAAGAAAATATTGACTCAGTTGAAAGGCAGAGTTACAGAAGGGAGTGAGAAAGACATATCCTTCCTCAGCAAGTTCACTCCCCAATGCTGCCTTGGATAGAGCTGTGCTGGTCCAAAGCCACAATCTAGCCTAGCATGCAACCTCGCTGAAATTAAACCAACTAGCCCAGAATCTTCGAAGAAAAATGGTCATTCTAAAACCACTTTCTCCTCTTGTTGAGTTAGAATACTGGCATGCAGAGCTTCCTGCGTGGCGTGGCTGGAGTGGGTTTAGGTGCCTCAGCGGCTGCCACTCAAAACACAACAGGAACCCTCAGCAGGAGCCCTGGACTCCTAGGAAGGCAGATGGCGCACTATCCTTCTCACGCGTAGAGACGTTACCCTTAGCAACCCCACGAGGACACAGAAGGAGACAGCACAGTGAGTGCCCAGGGAGAGCAGGCTCGGCTGGCACCCTTCCTGAGAACAGTTCAGAGGTCGGCCCAGCTCTGCCTCCCCGAGAGCTGCTGTGCTGAGAAACGAGGGCTTGCAAGTGTGGGCTTCATCTCAAGAGCGACTGGCTTGGACTCTGCCAGGGCTGAGGATCCTGTCTGGAAAAGTGAGGCTAGACCCTCCAGCGCCTGCTGCCCGGGGCTGCCCGAGCTGAGTGAGAAGCCTGTGTGTGGCAGAGGAGCCCTACCCCAGAGCAGCACGTGACACTTCATCTGGTTCTCCCCCAGGTGACAGAGCAGGAGCTGGACCGCCGCACCCCCACCAGCCCTGCGGGAAGCCCCGAGCTCCTGACTGGGACCTGCTCCGTCACGGCCACTGCAGCCACTGGAATGCACCAGCGACTCTGTGCTTCAAACAAACCAATGTTTGACTATCTCAGGACCCTCAAGGCTTTACAGACATGAAACGTCTCTTTTTTACGTGAAACTGACTTTGCCTTTGAGCGGCAGTTCACTGCCACATGAAAAGGGCCGGCCGCATCCAGCGGGAACTGTGCAGCCCCAGGGCACCTACCGTCCCAGCCAGGACGTCATGCGGGCAGCAGTCCAGAAGGTGACTCTTGCAGACACGGTCATCAGTGAACTTGACCCTCTGTCTGGTTTCATCTCCTGAAATTCACGTGTGATTTTCAATAAGACAATGTTATCCCACTCCCCACAGGGGTCCCGGAGCTGACCACCACCCTGAGGCCTGGTCTAGATAGTGGCCTCCAGACAGCGGCACCCATCTCCGTCTTCCCTCCTGAGGCTCCGTGTCCAGAGGAACCACAGGAAACCTGACACATCGCTGTGCTCCCCAGGTCGGGGACTCAGCTGAAGGCCGAGCCCGAGGAGCCACTGGCCCACACGTGGCTGAGGACCACCGCCAGGACCGCTGGCTGCTACATCCCACCACCACAGCTGCTTTTACAAACGCGTGGGCAGCGTTCTACCCTGGTATGCTGGACACTGTGAGGTCCTCTAGGCCTGCTTCTCCTGCCCCCTTTGCCCACCCTCACAGAGGTGGCACCTGGAGTCACTTTACACAAGGCAATACCAAAAACAAACAAACAAACAAAAAAAAAGCAGGAAGGAACCAGGTTAGTGGATACACACTGTGAGCTGCAACCCAGACTGTACCATCTGCGTTCTTCACAAGGCTATGCCCGCTGTTGGAAAGTGCTAAGGGGAAAGTGCTGGTGCCCACACCTGCAGCAACAAGTTGGAGGGGGGTGACATCAAAAGACAGGCAAGGGGGGAGGTGCCGCGCTCTCAGCTAGTCTGTGCAACGCCGGGGGGACGAACTTAGCCTAGCACTTGCAAGCATCCAGCATTAAGGTAGTGTCTTTCAATTGAAAATGCTTTTCTTTCTAAACTACACTTTTAAAATTACTGGTGGAAAAAAGCAAACACTTTTGGTTATAACAGCTTAGAAATCAGTTGTGACTCACGGCTCGATGAACATGAGGCTTTTCTGCAACTCCCTTGCAGAGTGGTGTAGGCAGGAAAGATACACTGAACCTTTATGGACAAAATAGAGGCCACAATTGTTCAGTTTGTAGGAAGTCAAAAGACGGGAAGCAATTCAAAAGCAACTCAACAAACAAAGCTAAAAAAAAAATGTTTAATTAAAATGAAAATAGACACTAGCCCAGCTAGGAAACAAGGTGCAAAGGCCCTGCTCTGCCCTGCCCTTGTGCCAGGTGGCCTTCCAGCTCTGCACCTCCGGCCAGAAGAAAACACCAGCCACACGGGGCCACCCCCTCACCTCAATGACCGCTGGACTCGCTCACCTCCCTACGGCGCGGCCTCCCTGACCACCGACAGCCCGCGGGAACCCCCAAGAAAGGGCCCCACACAGGCTCCCTCGGCAGCGGAACAAGACAAGAGTGGCATGGGCACCACGCCCACAGGGCCTGCATCATGGTCCAGGCGGGCTAGGGTCAGTCCGGGGAGCCCACATGGGCCGGGGTCAGTCCGGGGTCTGCCCATAGTCAGGCAGGGCTCCGTCCCGGGTAAGTTCAGGCTCTGTCCGGGCTCAGTCTGGGGTCAGTCCAGGGTCAGTCCAGGCTCTGTCCCAGGTAAGTTCAGGATCTGTCGGGGGTCAGTCCCGGGTCAGTCAGTGGTCTGTCCCGGGTCCGTCTGGGGTCTGCCTGGGGTCAGTCCAGGCTCTGTCCCGGGTCCGTCTGGGGTCAGTGCAGGCTCTGTCAGTGGTCTGTCCGGGGTCAGTCCAGGCTCTGTCCCGGGTCAGTCCAGGCGCTGTCCCGGGTCCGTCTGGGGTCAGTGCAGGGTCTGTCAGTGGTCTGTCAGGGGTCTGTCCGGGGTCAGTCCAGGGTCTGTCAGGGGTCTGTCCGGGGTCAGTCCAGGGTCTGTCAGGGGTCTGTCCGGGGTCAGTCCAGGGTCTGTCAGGGGTCTGTCCGGGTGCCCAGGGCGCCTCGCGCAGACAAAGGCCCGGCGCCCGAGGGGCGGCTCGCGCAGACGCAGAGAGAGCGGCCCCTGCTCGGGCCGCCCGGCGGCCGCGCCTCACCGCCCCCGGCCCCCGCCGAGGCTCGGCCGCACTCACCGTCCCGCGCCGTGCCCATGAGCTGGTCCAGCAGGGCCCGCATCTGCGCCTGAGCGGACATGGCGGCGGAGACAGGCGCGGAGAAGCGCGTCCGCGGAGACACGGCGCGCTCGGCAATGCGGCCCCGCGCGGGACGCCGGGAGCACGCGCGTCACACCGGCGCGCGTCCTGTCGGGAAATGTAGTCCCCCGCGGACTGGGGCGTGGCTCCCGGGGGCACGGGCCGGCCAGGGGGCGGAGCCGGAGTCCCGACTCCGCCCCTGGGGGAACCGGAGTCTGTTTAGTAAATGAAATGGGACCAAGAAGAGCAACCCGGTGCCTCCTGGGGTTCCTCAGACCTGCAAGGTGTGGGCTCCCAAGGCGACCCAGGTGAGCTTTGTGGGGTAGCCGCTTAGGCCGGTGCTGTGCTTCACCCGAGCCCTCCGCGAGCTCACGCCAGTCTCCATTGCAGCACACACCGCGTGTGCACCTGAACCCAGAGACTCGTGTCGTAGATCCTGGGTTTGTCCAGCTGGCGTTCTCTGGGGCTACCCTCATTTATCACCTTAAATGGCCATGGCCACCCGATGCATGTTGTGCCCACTCTGGCCTCCGCCAGGAGAGGGCGGGGGGCGCGGGCCCGTTGCTAGGCAACAAGGCGGGGCCGGGGCAGGAGCGCTTCCGGCCGTTCGCGCCCGGCCGGCCGGAAGTGACGCGGGGGCGGGGCCCGGAGCGCCTGCGGCCCCGGCGGACAGCGCGGCGCAGGTGAGTGTCGTCGAGTGCGCGGCGCGGAGGGAGCGCGGGCGCCGTGGGGCTCCCGGCCGCCTGGCCTTGGGTTCGAGCGCGGGAGGCTCTCGGGGCGGGAGATGTGCTGACTCCGCGGCAGGTGGCCAGGGCGCGCGCTGAGCGCCCGAGGATTGTCTGCGTCAGGTGGACAGGTGTGCGGAGGGTTAGGGTTCAGAGGCTGCCCCATCGTCCGAGACGGAAGTGTCCCCGGGTCAGGGCTGCGAGCACGCGGGCTGTCCCCGGGTCAGGGCTGCAAGCAGAGCACCGCTGTCCATCCCCTGGGTAGGGCTGTCCCCAGATCAGCGTCGCGAGCGCCTCCGGGCTGTCCCCAGGTCAGGGCTGGGAGCACCTCTGAGTTGTCCACCAGGGCAGAGGCCAGGGGCTGGGAGGTGGGGAGCACAGTCCTTGGCAGACTGATGTCTCAGCATGCTGGGCGCCTCTCCCTGTGGGTGCTCAGGAATGCTTGTGGTTGGCTGGGCGGCTGTGGCTTTCTGGTGCCCAGGGCAGCGGGCGCCCCCCTTCTGTGGAGGCTGGAAGGAAAGCAGTGACCTCAGCCCCCTGGCCCCTGCTGGGTGAGGATGCATCTCGACCCAGCCTCGGGGTGACCACCACTCCAGGAGGACCTGGTCATGGGGAAGGAGCCAGGCAGTGAGGAGAGGCTGCTGGGGTGGGACCACAAGTGTCGGATCCCAATCACATCACCCCGCCACTGGGATTCTGCCTTCTGAAGGGAGGCATGCAGAGCACCATAGCCGTTAACATACCTGTTGGAAAGAGTGCCCAAGCATCTGGAGTCTGGACATTGTGCCTGGTCCTGCTGTTTGTCTTAGTCAGCAAGCCTGGGAAAGGAGCCTTCCCCAAGGTCAGGCTCTGGGCGGGGGGTGTTCCATCAGACCAGCACATCCACTGTTCCTGGAGGGGAAGTGAGTGGCGCGGATGCCCGTAGGGGCCCCACATCTAGATCTATTTATTGGTTTATGAGAAGCAGAATGACAGAGAGCTTGTGTCTGTTGGTTCACACCCCAGTGGCTGCAGCAGTCAGGGCTGGGCTGGGCTAAAGACAGGAGCTCCGTGCAGGCCTACCGTGTGGGAAGCAGGAACCCAGAGTGAAGCTGTATTTCAGTGAGTGACATGGCTGTTCCCCACGGTGTCCGGACCCCAGCTCCATACACCATCCACTGCATCTGCAAGCTGTAAGTTTCAAAGCAAGTGGTTAGAGAATGCATTAATATACAACTCCTTCAAGAAAGTAAATGAGCAGAAGAGTGGGTCCTGTGTCAGTGGGGCTGTACGGGAGGAGAGGCGGCCTACATTCTGGCTTAGTGGCTAATGCCACTGCCTGCAGCACCAGCATCCCATGTGGGTACCACTTTGAGTCCCAGTTGTCCTCCTTTCTATCCAGCTCTCTGTTTATGACCCTGGGAAAGCAGTAGATGCCTCTGCACTCACAAAGGGAGAGCCAGGTTGAGACCCACTCTGAGCTTTGTTCTGTCCCAGCCCAGTCCTTTAGAATTATTTGGGGAGTGAGCCCAAGATACAACATGGGTGACTCTCTGTCCCTGTGGATAACACCCTGCTTGTCATGGGTGCTATGAGCCATCCGCCTGCCTTTCACATGTTTGGCAGGTGAGCTTCTTGTCCAACAGGGGGTTCTTATCCGGCTCTAGCTTTGCAAACCCCTTGTGGAACTTAGGTTGTCAGGACCTTAAAGCAAAAGGCTGGCTCCTGACTTAAATACCAGAAGGAGATACTGAGAGCAAGTCCTGAATCTACCCTGGGGATAACACAGATACCTGTTGGCACTAGGCAGCAGGTGCTTCTCTGGTCTGCCCGTTCAGGTGATAGATTCTTTAGATGGAAGGATGGAGACCGAGGCCCACCCAGTCTTTGGGTTGGTCCAAAGGGATCAGGCTGGAGTTGTTATAGGGTTTTTGACCCGGAATATGGCAGCAACCTCAATTCTTGTCTTGCAGGAAAGAAGAATTTTCATGCGGACACAGTTTAGTTTTAAAGCAAGATTTATTTAAAAAGTTGAGAAAGGGGACTCCCGTCCTAGTGACAGGAGGGGGCTCTGAGATAGAAAGGACCCTTCCCCCCTGCCATAGTGGCAGGAGAAAGTGGAGGAAAAAAAGAGACCAGTATTAATGGTGGGTCTTTTTAAAGGTTTGCTTCAAAGGGGCTCTTCAAGGACAGAAGGAAATTCCTGGTCCCCCTGGTATCTGGCTTTGGGGCAAAAGACCAGACAGGTGGCAGACATTGGGCATTCCTGGCCTTGGGACATTCCTGGCCTCCAGTCCTCTTTTCAGTGATAAGGAGATCAGCCTGAGGCCCTCCTACACAATGGCCGGAGATAATGGCTGATGCTTCAGGTGGGGAATTGATATGCTAATATCACCCTTGTCCCTTGCTCTGGTGAATCCAAGACATGGTAGGGAAAATACTCTTATATTTGAGGAAAAATGACTTGGGGACCCAGAATACCCTAACTGCCTACTGCCCAGTCTAACTTCTCTCACAGAGTCACACTCCTTTCTGTCCCACAGCCTGCTTAATGTAAGGTGTGGAGACCTCTCCATGAGAATGCCAACCTTAATCCATGAAGAAAGCTGACTGCCTGTAGTTTTTGGAAAACCAGAAATAGGAGGAGTTGCTTCCTGTCTGCAGTGCATTTAGCTATCCAGCCACAGCCTCACTTCAGGAGATATTGTGACCCATCCTCAATTACTCTGAATGTTTTGTGGGGCTGGCACCTCAGCAGAGCAGTTAGAATGCTACTTGGGGTGCCTGGGTGTAAGTCCCAGGGTAGCTTCTTTCCTGCCTAGGCATGGCTGGCTGCATCTGTGGCTGGCATTTAGAGCGTGAAGCAGTGGATAGGAGATCTGTCACTTGGACTTTCAAAAAAGAAAAGTAAACAGAATTAAAGACATGTTTCAGTTACAGAAGGAAGGAGTCGTGAAGGGCTGGGGAACACGTGCTGGGCTTCTCTCGCCTTTGGCAGGGATCCATGACCTTAATGTTTGTTCTCAGGAGGAATAATTACGTGCTTGTTCTTTCTCTTGGGCTTGTTCTCGGGGACGGGAAGGCGTAGCTGTTGGCTGTAAACAGCTCCACACTGACTGTCATTGTCTGATGTCTGTTTTGCTCAGTGGAAGGACCTCACGGGTGCTGCACACCACTCCTGACTGTGGTCGGGCTCGTCCCCATGGAGCAGACAGTGGGCACACCTGCGGGAAGATGGCTAGGGAATTGTGGAGGACCTGAGGGCTCAGGAGCGTTACTGTATTGGGCCTGTTTTGCCTGGAGACAACGCTCCGTGAAACTCCACCTGTGCATCACCTGTTCTTATTGAATATACACTGTTGGCTTGGCCCCAGGGACTCTGCAGATGCCCACTTGGCCTTAACTGTCCCATACAACAGGGGAGAAAAGTGCACTAAATACTGGAATGAAAGGTACTGAGCTCCCTGGTGTGGGCTGGAAGGGAACAGCTCTGAAGTTTGAAGCTGACAAGCATGCGAAGTGTCCAACATGTGTGTCGCTTGCTCTTCAAATCATTGTCCTGGCTGGTGACCAAAGGTGATCCCCAGGCAGTCCACAGATGAAGGGACAAATTCAGGGGCTATACAGCAAGGACCCTCTGTTCTGGATAATTCTTGCCTGATCAAAGGAGTCCAGAGTCAACACATACGTCATCAGGGGCTGCTCCATTTCTGGTCCAGCTCCCTGCTAACGGCCTGGGTGCTTGGTCTCCTGCCACCTGCTCAGAGTGTGCGTTAGCAGGAAGTCGGCCGGGCAGCAGGGAACATGGTGGCCTCATCCTCCTCTGGAGCCAGCCTCATCTCTGCCCACTGGCTTGGTGTGTTGCTCTGAGAGACATGGTTCTTTTCCTGTCTGCAGCTCAGGGGGTTTTGTGATCCTGCAGCTCTCAGCTGCTCCACCGGGTGAAGCTTTCACTGTCCCTGTGTATTGCCCTCAGAGCAGGTGGGGCAGCCCAGGGCCTTGGTGTTGCGCAGACACCAATAATGTCCTGGCTAGGGAACTAGTCCCCCTGGGCATTATGTGTCCATGCTAGTTTGTATTTAAGTCACATTGTTACCCTCATGTTTTGTTTTTTTCTCGTTTTGCTTGGCATTAAAGTCAAGAAATGGACTTGATAACCATCATTTTAGATGGGGAGAACCTCCTGTGAGTGAATTCCCAGGCTCTGTCCCTGGACCCTGGCTGGCGGAAAGTAGCAGAATAAGACCGGATGCAGGCGAGGAGGATCCAGTGTCTGATGCCCACTCTGACAGGGTTCATCTCTTTCAGCATGTACACAGATACAGATTGTGCCTTCCTTTAATCTCTGTCACCTTGGTCGTGACATGCTGAT